GTGATGATGGACTTTAGGGATAGTAAGTTTAATTGTAGTAGGTTTAGTTCTAGTTGGTACAGCAGTTTTGGTTATAGTAGGTATTTAAGTTTAGCTGTACATTCTGACCACTCCTGAAACCATGGCCCACCGTATCGATGCAGTTATGGATGAACAGCATGTTATCTTTGCTAAACTGATGTTAGTTTGTCCAGACTTGTTTATATGACTACATTTGACCTTCCTGATCAGCCTGTGTGATCTTTACTGAGGCAGGCAGCATCGCAAAGTGTGCCCTGGTTACAGGGACACGACTCGGTGATGGAGAGAATTTCAATAAATTAAGTTCTTTCCCACCAAGATATTCTACAGTGTTTTAATGTTATTCTGTTTGTAAAGCTTGTGTCCGGGACTCGTGTTTCTGTCAAGCCTCTATGTCTGCTGTTTTTGTTAAAGGAAGGATAATGGATATATGGATAATGCAAATCCACTGTTGTGGTTTCTGAGCTTGCGGTTTCCTCATCTGTAATGAGCTGCAGGGTTTGATTGAAGTAGGTTTTTTTTATTTAACCCGAAGCTTCCGCTGTGTGGCTGAATGAACCCGTGAAACACACTAACATGTTTGCAGTGCTTTCTGTAGCCAGAGTTGCAGTATAAATAACATTATTTGATGTGGCATTTAAATATTTGTCACTTAAGTGTTTAAGATTTTACAAGGAGACAGATGTGTACAATAAATGAATGTCACAATCAGAGCAACACCAAAAAAGAGGAGGAAAAAAGGGGTTGTATGTGGGTCCAAAACTCAAATGAGTATATTTGAAGGTGTAGTATCCTAGCATTTACATCCTTTTATCTCATCCTTTTTTCTGTGGTGTCATGTCGTCCAATTTCGTCACCTGTTAAGGCTTGGGTACACTACACAACTTTTAAAGTCTTAACAGATAATAAATAGATGGGGTATCTCGCACTATCTGACTGGTTTTTGGGGGGATCACACACTAAACGATTAGGGATCACACATGACTCGACTTTTAATCTATTGCTAAACCAAACGAAACTCACACAACTTCATGCAAACTCACACAAATATATAAACTTGTGTGCTTTAAACTCAGCTCATTAAAAAGCTTTGCTGCACACACGAGTGACTTTTTGCCATTTTTCTTTGTTTACTTGCTGTATTTTCTTCTTTCACGGTCTCAGATTTCATTGGCTGTTGCAGGAGTTCATCCAGATTCATTGATCATTGATCAGTATACACTATATTATACACTAAAGTGGTGTCAAAAAAATCTAAATGTTAAATCTACAAATATTAGATTTTTAGGTAAAAATAAAATAATAATGCTCATTTGCAGTAAAATAAAGCTCTGCTGATCGTTCAACACAGTTATAACAATAAATTACTTTAACGCTGGAGTTAATGCATATCTCCTAATTCACCCTTTAACCCTGAAGATTGGCGCGCAGACTGCTGGTCACTATAACAACGCAGACAACAATCTCGCCTAGCTAGTAGCTAACGAAAAGGCAAAGAGAAAGATTTAAGATGAACATCAATAATTTGGAGAAAAAGTTGCAAAACTGTCAGTGTCTCATTCGACAGCTTTTCCATCTTTCGTTCCATCTTAAATGGTGCATCAGTTACATTCTGGTGCCTCAGGAACCATTTAAGGTGGAACAGGAAAAATCCGAACAAGAAGCTGACGAATGAGAAGCTGACTTCAGCCTCGTAAAAAGTTGAACATTAAGAGACATTTTACAAGAAACTGTTCTACTTTTGTGCAAAAGTTTCCTGCTAGAGATATGAGAAAAGCGGCTATAGCTGAGCTGAAGATTAAAGCAGCGCAAAGTAAGTCTGCATTTTTGTCTATTATTATATTTTTAGCCTATACTAGTACATTAGCACATACTTTTGAAAGGACAAAATGGCTTTTCTTAACATTTAAGTTGCTGACCCCTGGACTAACCTAACATAAGCACACCAGAACTTTGATATTTGCTTGAGGTCTGAATTGCTAGGCTCAAACTGACCCCAAGGATAAATGTTAGCAGCAGCTTCATGTTTGTTCTTTTATGTCTGCTAGTAACGGGAGAACACGTTGGTTTGGTTCAGCAACAGCTTAAAACTTGAGTCGCCAATATTTCATTCGCCAAAAAACACCTGCAGAAACCAGCGTGATGGTCTGAGATGCCATCTTTCATAACCTGTTAGTGCTTTAAAAGTTATGTAGTGTATCTTGGACCCTACATAGATCCAAGTTCCACCTTCGGGTTTAGTTTGGTTACTTTCTGCAGTTCTCCAGTGTCTTATG